GACAGTTTAAATGCTTCCACACTGCTGACGTGTGTGCTGCATTATAAAGAGTGCGCGCCTCTCACTCTGTGCTGGCTGCTATTTGATCGCGTCATATCATTGTTCGGTACAATTTATTCGGTCTTTTCGCTTATTCGGCCGAACACAGAAAGAGCTTTTTTTGCTATTTTCGGCCGAATAATTTCGGTTGCCGAACATTCGGTGCATTCCTAATAGGAAGGATTTTTGGGGTGCTCTTTTCCAAAAAAAAAGTGAATGTGACCAGGGGCTGTCAGTCTCCAAAAAAAAAAAAAGACAGAAAAGCACAATAAAAAAGGTACCGTTACATTATTCCATATGTCTTGTGCACTGTATTCCCGATCTTCTGAAGTCATACCATAGTTTAGTTTCTCTGCCGAAACACTCATCTTTTTTGTGTAATTTGAATATTTACATATATCCATATAGTATCATCTGAGATTTATTGAGATTTGAGAGCTGTAGCAGATGAGAGAGGTGCTTTTTGTTCTTTTTGGAGCTTGACAGCCCCTGGTCATTATATGTAAAAGAGCAGCGTGTACATTCTGCTAAACTTTTCCTTTTGTGTTATATAGAATGAAAATCAGGTTTGAAACAACATGAGGCTGAATGAATGAACTTTTGGTTGTTGCCGTCCATTGTGTTATCTCTGGAAAATACTGCCTATGGAATATGTTTAAAACCTAATTCATGGGTGTCCCCTTAGTTTATTGTGTCAGTAGTTTAATAGTGGTTTTGAAGACTTGTTTAACTCTGGAGTCTCTCATTGCTTTACCCTTCATCTTTATGCTTCAGTGCCTTTTTAGGAAATGTTAGTATTCTCATGAGAGGCTAATTAGTTTAAGTTCAGTCTCCAAGGGACATGTCAGAGGAGTAGTTTATTGTACTCTCAAATTAAGGAGGAAATTAGACCACATTTTAAGGCACAAAACACTGCAGTCAGTGTTGATTTTGAGCTATATGACTCCATATTGCAGCATCTATGAGCCAAAGTCAATAAATTAATTCATAATCCCTTTCACCTTAATAAAAGCTCATTGGGTAACACTTTAGATTAGGGAACACTACTCACTATTAACTAGTAGCTTATTAGCATGCTTATTACTAGCATATTGGCTGTTTACTTATAAAGCACATGTTTATGCCTTATTCTGCATGACCATGTTTTAGAGCCCTGATCCACCCCATATCTAAACGTAACAACTACCTTACGAACTATTAATAAGCAGCAAATTAGGAGTTTATTGAGGAAATGCTCTTATTTAGTAGTGAAAATGTTCCCTAATATGAAGTGTTACCGCTCATCGTCTCTGATAGCTCAGATTTTGCGATGCCACCTTATTAAAATTACACGGCAACAATTAAATATTGTTCTGCAAGAATTTAGAAGCTGACTGAAAACTTTAAATGTAATTGAAACTCAGTGATCTCAGCTTAAGCTTTTTTTCCATTTTAATATCTATGTACTTTATATTGTATCGTTGTAAACATGTTGAACTGCACAATAACCACACAGCTACAGATCAGTATGATTTGTTTGCCTTCAGTTAATGAAGATAACTATTTTTTTCTCTCTGAAATGTTAAATGTGATTTTTATTTATTTATTTAAATGAACAGTTGAATACACTGGCATTCGAAAATGCGGAGTCTAAATGTTTTTGAAAAAAAGTCTCTTGTGCTCACCAAGGCTGCATTTATTTGATTAAAAATACAGTAAAATATTGTGAAATATTATACAAATTTAAAATAACTGTATTCTATTCTAATATATTTAAAAATAGAATTTATTCCTGTGATGCAATTTTCATTAATAATTAAGATTTTGAAAAGGTTTTTTAAATAAGGCTGCATTCACAGTAAAAACAGTAATATTGTGAAATATTATATTTTAAAAGAACTGCTTTCTTTTTGAATATATTTCAAATGTAATTTAATTTAATGCATTTGTGATGCAAAGCTGAATTTTCAGCATCATTACTCCAGTCTTCAGTGTCACATGATCCTTCAGAAATCATTCTAATATGCTGATTTGCTGCTTCATATTTTTGTGGAAACCATGATAAATTTTTTTCAGAATACTTTGATAAATAAAAAGTTAAAAACAGCTTTTAATTTAAATATAAATCTTTTGTAACATCATAAATTCTCTACTATCGATTTTGATCAATTGAATGCATCCTTACTGAATAAAAGTATAAATAAAAAAAATCTTTTGAAGAGTAGTGTATGTTCAGCTATATATAAGCATATAGAAACCTCGTGGTACGTGCTACAGTAAAGATGTTAAGGCTGTATATAGGTCTTTATTTTTCCTTCTCACTCTGATCTCTATAGACTCCTCTGTACATTGTAAATCACGGTGAGACTGGACCAATCCGCTGCAACCGCTGCAAGGCCTACATGTGTCCTTACATGCAGTTTATCGATGGAGGACGACGCTACCAGTGTGGCTTCTGCAGCTGCGTTAATGAAGGTTGGTACTGTACCATTGAGACTGCTGGGACCTTAATTCTTACGCTGTGTCTCCTGTCAACATATGGTAGGGGTTATTTGTCTGTGAAGTCGTAGCTAAAAAAAGGGTTTCTAAAAATGGTTTTTCACTACCTTTCCAGTTCCAGTGCAGTATTTCCAGCATTTGGACCATATGGGGAGAAGAATGGATCTGTATGAGAGACCAGAACTGTCTTTGGGCTCATATGAGTTCATTGCCACATTGGATTACTGCAAGGTAACAGAGAAGTTTTTATATAAGTGTACAATGTTCACAGTTAGATTTGATTACATTAGTAAGGTTTAATATTAATAGATTGTATTTGATTGATCTAAAATAAAGTCCTTCGCTAACAAAAATTCCCTGTAGTAATGTAATGGTAAGAGAGTGTGTGGATTATTAGACTGTGTGATTTGTTTAAACAGGGTTAACTTGCCCCAGGAAGCAGCTCAGAAAGGTTTCTTTCTTGGCAGTCACATTGCATATTTTTAATCGGGCATATACAATTAAATCTTGAAAATAAATATATGATATGTTTAAAATGAGGAAAACAATTTATGCTCAGAGTAAAAAAAAAAAAAGGCTCTTTATTTGATTACACAGAGGCAAGTTTTAATTCAGTGACATTTTTATGCTGTTCTGCAAGCAGGTCAGCTGAAAGTTTACTTTCTTTTTCTTTTTTTTTAAATGCATTGAATGTATATTTTGAAATCTGAATGAAACATTTTATACTTAATACTAATACTTTTATATTTATATATATTTTTTATGTCAAAAGTTTGCAGAATCTGCAAAATGTTAAAAAAATGCATTTTGTTTTGCATTAACACTGCCCTGAAAAAGCTATTTCACAAAACAAAATAATAGCTGAATTTTTCCAAAAAGTTTGCATGCGCATTTGTCATCACCTGGATGATCTACAACTTGTGTTGTGATAGTTGTTCACGAGTCCCTTGTTTGTTCTAAGCAGTTAAATTGCTCATTGGTCTTTTATAAAAGTCTTTACGGTCCTGCACATTCTTTGGTTTTCCAGCATCTTTTGCATATTGGACCTCTTTCCAGAAGTGGATATGTGATTTTTGAGATCCGTGTTTCCACACGGTGGACAATTGTGGGACTCATACACCGCTATTACTGAAGCAGCAAACATTTGCTGATGCTCAAGAAGGCCACATGGTACATTTAAAGGAATAGTTCACCCAAAAATGAAAATGTACTCCTTCTCAGGCCATCCGAGATATATATGAGTTTGTTTCTTCATTTGAACAGATTTGGAGAAATTTAGCCTTACTACACTTGCTCACCAATGGATCCTCTGCAGTGAATGGGTGCCGTCAGAATGAGAGTCCAAAAAGCTAATAATAACAACACAATAATCCACAAGTAATCCAATCATTAAACATCTTATGAAGTGAAAAACTGCTTATTTGTAAGAAATAAAGCCATCATTGAGATGTTTTTAACTACAAATCATTGCTTCCAGCTAAAATACGAGTCCTCATTTCACAATATTGCATTCTCCAGTGAAAAAGTTAACTTGTCAGGAGAGAAATATGCACAGCTCAAACACCATTTATAAGCCAAAACAGCTCTAAACAGATATATGGGTGTATTTTGATGTGAGAAGGCAACAGGGGTTGGACTTTTTCAATGGAGGAAGCGTTATTAGGGATTATGAATTCATATTTTAGCCGTAAGCAATGGTTTGAAGTTAAAAACATCTTAATGATGTGTTTGTTTCTTACAAACATGCAGCTTTTCACTTCACAAGATGTTAACTGATGGACTGGAGTGGTGTGGATTATTGTGATGTTTTTATCAGCTGTTTGGACTCTCATTCTGACGGCACCCATTCACTGCAGAGCATCCATAGCTGAGCAAGTGATGTAATGCTACATTTCTCCAAATCTGATGAAGAAACAAACTCAAACTGTGAACAAATTTAAATTTTTGGGTGAACTATTCCTTTAAAAGCCAGGGGGTGAATACTTTTTTTTTTAAACTTTTGATGCTTTGTGTATTACATTCTCATGGACCAGGGTCCAAAGTAGGCTGTAATCTCAAATGAACTTAATTTCAATTCAGTTATCGGACTAAAGAGGTTCATGGCACATTTTTGGCCCCAGTACGTGCCTGGGTTCCTCATCTCCGCCTGACACCATAATCTTCTATCTGGGCTCTAGTTTCTCTCAGATGTTTATTAATATACTCCTGCAGTGCTTAATAAAATCATCACAGTTGATCCCTACTGCACACTGTTCATTGGGAGTAAAAACAAGGAGTCTTTATCGTAATCCTATTGCCCACTGTTGTGTTTTGAGAGACTGTAATGTGTTCATCTTGGCATTTCTATATATAAAAAGATAAAAAAGTTTCCTTGTGCATATGATATGCTTTCACATGATTGCAAACTTCTCTGCCACAAGATATGTGTACAAAGTCTGTGAAGAACAAGCAAAAACAGCCCACTTTGAAGTTCATGAACTACCATAAATTCATTCTGTGATGTTCTTTTTTGTCTTTAAGAATAATAAGCCTCCAAATCCTCCTGTCTACATCTTCATGATCGATGTCTCCTACAACAACATAAAAAGTGGACTTGTCAAACTAATATGCGAGGAACTGAAGACACTGCTTGACCGACTTCCAAAGTAAGTTGAGAGATAATGTTTGCTGTCTATATTTAAAGAAAATGATAAATCGCCATCGTTCTTCATAATAACTTTAATACTTGAACATTTTGTTTCTTTGTCGCTCTTGGATTTTGATAGTGAATATGTACATAATTTTTTTACGGTAACACTTTAATATAGGGACCAAATCTCACTATTAACTAGTTGCTTATTAGCATGCCTATTATTAACATATTGGCTGTTTATTAGTACTTATAAAGCACATATTCTGCATGACCATATTCTACATCCCTAATCCTATCCAATAACTAAACTTAACAACTACCTTACTAACTATTAATAAGCAGCAAATTAGGAGTCTATTGAGGCAAAGTTGTAGTTAATGGTTTGTTAATAGTGAGAATTGGACCTTAAAGTAAAGTGTGACCTTTTTTTTTTTGCTAATCAACATCAAGATTTCAGGTTAAAATCTATGTTTAGAGAAAATATGTACTGAAGCTGTTATTGGTCTCTTTACTTTTAAAGTTTTTTATCGTTATCGTTAATTAAAACTAAAGCTGTTAAAAAAAATTTTGTTCATTGAAATTAAACTAAAATAATATTAAATACAAATATTAGATGAAAAAACAAACAAAAACAAATGAAAATTATAACTGAAAAAATTTGAAGCACTAAAATGAAACTGGAAACTGGAAATAAATAAAAACTAAAACTGAAATAAAATAAATTAAACCTAAACGTTAAACCTAAAAATGTCTAAAAAAAAAAATCGAATAAAAATGACAAGAGCACATAATAAAAATGACTAAAATTGAAAAATAAAAGCTAATTGAAAATATTAATAAAATCTATAATATTATAGAAATAATAAATACTAAAATAATACTAAATATCACTGTTCACAATTTGTAATCACATTTTTTTTGCAATTAATTTTTTTTTGTGACATGATTTTTATACATATTATAGAATTAATTATAATTATAACTTAATGGCTGCAATATAACAAAGAGTGAAAAATTTAAGGGGGTCTGAATACTTTCTGTACCCACTGTATATATATATATATATATATATATATTATATGATTCTTAATAAATGAATTATATAAAAATGTAAAATATAGTACATTTTAAAACATTTCAGCAAATTGCAAACATCTGACCTTTCAGCAGCCCGTGTGCATCTGTCGACTCTGTACTGGCCGGTGGACTGAAATTTAACAGAGGGAATAGATCATTCTGTTAGTATTTTAATGTTTGGACAGCTAAGACTGTAAAGATCTGGGTTGGACTGCAGATATATTTAGGACTGCTTTCATCCCCCATCCCACACACTGACGCCCAGCTCCAGGTGTTTGGCTGGGAGGATCTGTGGAGTAAAGTTGAAGCCTTGGGCAGAAGCCACCCCTCCGTTTTCTGTCCGCACCTCTCAGGTTGAACACATGTTCATCTCAGCTACTATCAGCCTGGAATGTGAACGAACCCAGCTGAAAAAGAGCCCCGATCCCCTGCCAAATATGGTAACGGGAGAACAAGCAAGGAAAAAAAACAAAAACTAGGGAGGTAAACAATTCCAATATCTCATAATTTGAAAATGTCGGCCTGAAGGAAGTCAGGAGGTTCAGCGGCTCTAGTTTTGCAACAGTTTTTAAATGTTTGGTGGCACACATGGCTTCAATTATACCGTTTCTTTGGGTGACGGCTAGCTGAAAGGTGAGCTTTTGATTCACCTCTGAGGAACTTGTATATTTAAGACTTTTTTTCACCCTCCTAAACTACTTACCTCTCCTCGTCTGGTTCCTAAGGGTTTATTTGTTTGGGATCTGATCTCGCTCTGAAAGCAGTCCGGTAGTGCACTCCAAATAAGCCTGTGGTGTTATATCTGATTTCTCTCCTCTGTTCCTGGCTTTGCTTGCTAGATTGCGCAGAGTTAATGAAAACCACATTGGACACCCTGAGTCGATGGGGTCTGTTAGTGCCTGATAGGATTTGTATTGGAAAGTGTGTCTCTAGCTTAATGAGAGACTTGGCATATATAGACTGTGAGTGATCCAAACCATCACCATGTTTTACAATCTTACAAATGTAAATTTAGAAAGCTACAAAGCCCAGATACAGGCGTCAATCTGGAATGCTTGTATTTACTGGCTGACACAGTTCTCCGCTATCAGCTACTACACAGTGCTCTGGTAGATGTTCGATGGTGAAATGTGCACATTTCTTTAAACTGATGGAATACTGAACACCTGAGATTTTCATTTTAAGCGCTAGGAATTATCTCTGTTAGCTCTGTACAGTCAATGTTTCCCACCAAAGTAATATACGGTATAAGCAGATAAAATAGTATTTGGACA